TTGAGGGAAAACTGAGGGACGCACTGGAGTGTGCGCTATAACTCATTAAATGCTGTCCTTAAATATCAGGACAAGGATTTATCAACCGTTTTGCAGCGAGGGAACGGACGTAGGGCCTATTTTTATTATGTAGAGCCTATGAATGTGATATTCGAGGGCCTACTTTGTGTGATGGAAGAGGAGCCCTTTCACAGAGGCTTTGAGCTCTTAAAAGGGCCCTTATTTTTTTGATTAGTATTTGTGTGCATATTTTTTTGATCAGACATCAGAGAGAGGGAGCTGAGGGAAAGACAAGGAGATGAGGAAGAGAAAGAGAGGAAAAAAAAGACGAGTTGAGAGAGCTAAGTGCTTCTCGGTGACTCAGTGACAGCCGTGACCGAAATCGCTTTAAGGTCACAATGGGGGTGTTGGGGTGGAGTAAAGAAGCTTTTCAAATGAATCAATTCTCTGCCTGGTCTGTTCCCGCTGTGATGTGGATATCCAAGGTACGTATCGCAGGTACATCTCCGTTAGTGTAGTCCGCGTAGTCAGACGTGACATTAACAAAGCAGTGTTTTGACAGGTGACCTTGTCGCATCAGGAAAAATCTACCGGTCAAGCAAAAGGGCCTCATGCTGGACTGTAGTTATTTCTAAGTGAGTAAAAGTAAGAAGAAGAAGAAGAAGAAGAGAAAAAAAAGTGCTTTTTAGTGACTCAGTGACAGCCGTGACTGAAATCGTTTTACGGTCACAATGGGGGTGTTGGGGTGGAGTAAAGAAGCTTTTCAAATGAGTCAATCCTCTGGCTCGGCACATCCCGCTGTGACGTGGATATCCAAGGGAGAGATCGCAGGTATACCTCGGTCTATGAAATGAGACATGATGAGACGTGACATTGACAAAGTAGGCTGACTGTTGTAGCATCCGTTCAAGACAAAGAGATGCATACCGGAGTAGAGCCCTTGTTTTTTGACATTAAGTCTTGTATTTGTGCCGTGGATACCCCAGGTATAGATCAAAGGTATAGCTGAGGTTGTGCAGTCTATGCAATGAGACATAATCAGACTTAACATGAACAAAGTAGTTTAAGGGTTCTGATGGGTGACCTTGTCGCATCCAGACGAATCATCCGGTCGAGCAAAAGGGGCCATAAATTGGACTTTAGTTCTTTTTCAGTCAGTAAAAGTAACTGCAAAAGGTGATTTCTTGCATCTATTTCGTGGATATCCAACATATATCGTATATATCAGTTAGTACGGTCTATGAAACGAGACATGAGTATACGTGACACCAATAAAGTGGTGTTCTGATGGGTGACCTTGTGGCATCGAGTTGAATCATTGGGTCAAGCAAAAGGGGCCTTTTTGAGTCGGTAAAAGTAACTGCAAAAGGTGCTTTCTTGCATCTGTTACGTGGTTATCCACCGTATACAGTAAAGGTTGTACATCAAGGTTGTATATCAGTTAGTACGGTCTATGGAGTGAGACCTGAGTACACGTGACAATAACAAAGTGGTGTTCTGATGGGTGACCTTGTGGCATCGAGTTGAATCATCGGGTCAAGCAAAAGGGGCCTTTTTGAGTTGGTAAAAGTAACTTTAAAAGGTGCTTTCTTGCATCTGTTACGTGGTTATCCAACGTTTACAGTAAAGGTATATATCAGTTAGTACGGTCTATGGAGTGAGACATGAGTATGCGTGACAATAGCAAAGTGGTGTTCTGATGGGTGACCTTGTGGCATCGAGTTGAATCATCGGGTCGAGCAAAAGGGGCCATGAATTGGACTGCAGTTCTTTTTCAGTCAGTAAAAGTAACTGCAAAAGGTGCTTTCTTGCATCTGTTACGTGGATACCCAACATATATAGTACATATTAGTTAGTATGGTCTATGAAATGAGACCTGAGTATACGTGACAATAACAAAGTGGTGTTCTGATGGGTGACCTTGTGGCATTGAGTTGAATCATCGGGTCAAACAAAAGGGGCCATGAATTGGACTGTAGTTCTTTTTCAGTCAGTAAAAGTAACTGCAAAAGGTGCTTTCTTGCATCTGTTATGTCGATATCCATGTATACAGTAAAGGTATATATTGGTTAGTACGGTCTATGGAGTGAGACATGAGTATACATGACATGAACAAAGTGGTGTTCTAATGGGTGACCTTGTGGCATTGAGTTTAATCATCGGGTCAAGCAAAAGGGCCACATACTGGACTGTAGTCCCTTTATAGTGAGTAAGGGGTGTTTTTTTTTGTCTATGTTGCATGAAGGCACAAAGAAAAGGTATGTCTCAGAACAGTCTATGGAGTGAGACATGAGTATCCGTGGCATTAACAAAGTAGTGGGTGACCTTGGAGCATCCAGTTGAATCTTCTGGTCAAACAAAAGGGCCACATACTGGACTGTAGCAAGGTTTTAGAGAGAGTTAAAGTCACAAAAAAAGGCTTTTGTGTGCCTGTGATTTGTGCAGTCTGTGCAATAAGACATGAATAGACTAACCTGATAGAAACTAGTTTGAGTGTTCTCATAGGTGAGACCTTGTTGCATCCAGAAGAATCTTTCGGCTCAGCAAAAGAGCCAAATACTGAACTATAGTCCTTTTATAGGGAGTAAAAGGTGTTTTTTTGTCTGTGTCACATGAAGGTACAAAGCAAAGGCAGATCTCAGTTAGTCTGTGAAATGGTCTATGAAATGAGACATGAGTGTACGTGGCATGAACAAAGTAGTGTTCTGATGGGTGACCTCGCTGCATCCGGAAGAATCTTCCGGTCAAGCAAAAGGGCCACAAACTGAACTATAGTCCTTTTGTAGTGAGTTAAAGTCATTGAAAAGGTGGTTTTCAGTTACTAAAAAGGGGGTTTTCTTGCAGCTGTTATGTGGTTATCTCAGGCCCATATCACAGGTACATCAGGTTAGTATAGTGGTGAGAAATGAGTAGACATGACTGGAAAGCAAAAGTGCCCCATTTCATAGTGGGATATAGTCCTTTTGTATTGACTAAAGTCACTAATAAAGTGCTTTTTAGTGACTCAGTGACAGCCGTGACCAAAATCGTTTTAGTGTCACAATGGGGGTGTTGGGGTGAAGTAAAGAGGCTTTTCAACTGGATCAATCCTCCGTCTCCTCTGCTGCTCTTGTATCTTTGATGTGGATATCCAAGGTACATGTCGCAGGTATATCTCGGCCTATGCAGAGACCTGAGTAGACGTGACGTGAACAAAGCAGTTTGAGTGCTCTGACGCGTGACCTTGTCGCATCCGGAAGAATCTTCCGGTCAAGCGAAAGAGCCGAATGCCGGACTACATCTCTGGGAGTGGCAGATTTCCTTGTCGGGGATTTCATCCACATCCTTTACTCCCTTCTCACACCATCTCCCCTGGTGATTGCGTCGTATAGCACTTCTCACATCCCCATCGCTAATGCCTTTTTCTATAGATCATTACCCTCCTCTCCCCTCACCACCGTTAGCGATCGCTCAATCAGAAACGCCGGCCTCCCCGTGGTCCCTGTTGTGTGGCCGTTGCTCATGAGAGGTGAAGAGGCTTCGATCAGGCACGCTGGGCTGTTTGCTTTGATTTGATCTATGGGCTCCACGCGCACTTCTGAATTATTGGAAAATTCCAGTAATGGTGATTCACGTGTAGCCCGGAGCGAATGTTGCTCGTGCTTGGTGTGGACCTATTTGCCAGTAATGAGATGCTGTAGCAGCCGACACGTTTGTGGTGTGACGAGAGCCTCTGCCCTCCCCATCATTTTCCTCTTTTCGCTCACCTGACACAACTCCACTTCATTCTCTTTTTCATTGGCTCACCGCCTTGCATTAATATTGTTCTCCTCTAATAACTTTCCCATCTTTCAAACTTTACCCCGCCTGCCCCTACCCACTGACCTCCATAGCTCACTCTGTTGCACTCTCCATTTGGAGGAGAGGACTCTTGTAAGCCCTAGTAACAGAGGTTAATCCTCTCTTATTAGAACCGGGATTACTGGAGGGGAAGGGACAGGAGCAGGCGCTGGGTGGATGCTAACCCCGGCTACAAATGGAGGAGGCCGACAAAATGCCATGACTGACATAAAAGCCTTGTCCACAGAGGACGCGATATATATATAAAGAGTTCACCTGTAGTAACCTCGGTGGTTTTTCTGCCGGTCTTTTGTGTGCTTGTTGTGCTGTGGAACTAGAAGAGATTTTTTTTCAGGATGCTGCAGCTGAACTTGTGCTGCATTTGAAAGAATAATGTTTATAAATCACGATATGCATGTATAGAATATATATATTTTCTCAGCTCTGTTGAGTGCTTTAGCATCTTTTAGCTCATTATTTTGGATTTTTAAGGACTGACAAACATTAGCAACAAGCTACACAAAGGAGCGTTTAGCTGCTGGAGACAGAGGTTTCCTCCTGGAGGTAAATATCGGACTTGGACTCGACAGGTGACCGGTACCGTGAGTGAACGGTGGCGTTCCTGCTGCATGTGCTGACACATCTGGAAATATGTCGGTGTTGCAACCGTGTGTCGGGGAAAAAAAAATCAATGAACGCAGATTTAAATCCAGATCTCGGCCCGAGTTTGATCAATTTTGATGGCGTTATCTATTACATTATTGTCATAACTGTTTCGCCGGTCGGGTCAGAAGGATGTCCAGAGCTGCTGTTCATCATCGGTCGCGTTGGTGTGTCGCGTGACTCTTTTTTTTCCTCCCCTGAAAACTCTCACCTGTAAGCGGCCACGTGTTCGAGCGTTTTAACAGTCAGGAAAGTCATCTCCATCCCACCTCCATCTCCGCAAAAAGCAAACGCGTTGTACACTTTCAAAGTGATTAATCTGTCTTTTTTTTTTTTTCATGTGTGACTTTCTTCTTTCTAAAAAGCTTAAATGTGTGATGTGTCTTTTCCACTAACCCAATGTTCCTCTCAGACTTTGTGAAATATAAGAAGAAAAAAAAAGAAGCAGTTATCACATCATTAATCTGTTCTTTATTTGTTCTTTCTTTCTCTCTCTCCCCCTTCATGCCTAAATATAGAAGTGGAACAAAAAGGTAACTAAATGCCAACAACTTTTCTGCTTTTTTCACCTGCATTTTGATTTGGACTCATGCTTGCAGTTTGGTTTTGTTGGTGACGGGTTGCTCCAGCAGGTTTTCTGGCTTCTCGTAGGTTCATGTTCATCGTGTGGTTTATTGGTGTGGTCGGACATGTAATTCATGGGGAAAAGGAAATTGTTCAGGGAAGCAGCTTTGGGATTAGACCTAATAAATAGTGTTTTTTCTCCTCATTATTTAGTCATCTACATGCAGCAGCATCCAAAACACTGAATAATACACGAGACTCCCGCCTTCATTTCTCGCTCATCGAATTCGGGAAAGGGTTTGACATTGCTACGTATATGATAATGCTTTAGGGTGAAACCATTACCAAACCTGGTCCCCTGCTGAAATCCCATAACCCTGGATGTTTTTATTCCCTGTAATAACTGAAAATTATTCCGGCTCCGCTTTATCAGCTGCATAATATTAAAGCAAGAGCGGCCATACGGATTGATCAATAGCTTGTCCAATAAGCTGTCAGCATTTTTCATTACAGCTCTAACATGATGATGGCCATAACCTTCAGGGACTCGCCGGTCAATACTGGAGATAGATCATAGTTGTATTCTTACCTTATCAGCAATGTATGATGCCCGCGAAACACGTGCTAAAGCGTCCGCCCAGGTGGAGTCGGAGCTATCGCGGATTGATGCCAAGGAGGAGTCTTACAAATATGTCCTTTGTCAGGTGTTAAAGTTGGATTCAAGTTAAAGATGAAAATGGAATCATTAAGCAAGAGTCAAGAGTTCCGCTTTTAACGCGATAAATTCTTGGTGGTAATTAATTAATCAGGGAAAATCTGCGGCAAAGAGAATGAGCAATGAAGGTGAAGGGGGGAGTCGAAGCGCTTTGCAGAGATGACAGTCGCTGCCGTAGTAACAGTTTGTGAAATTCCCCATGAAAGCCATGATTGCCTTTGTATCGCTCCTCTTAATATCTCTCATTTGCTCCTCCATGTCTGCGCTTACATCCTCTTAAAAAAAAAGGCACATTTTACAGCCTCCGTAGAGCCCCGGCGGTGCTGTCAGAGTACAAAGCCTACCTGCTCTGACCCCCCCCTTGCACCTCAACAAAGCGGCGCCTCTCTTAGCGTTTTGGCGGCGCGGCCGTCGATGGCTGGGTGTCGACGGGACGCACCGCAGGTAGACAACATGTTTAATCTTGGGAGATTACGACGGGGAGAGGAGCCTCTGTTTTCCTTCTCCTCCTTGCAGCTTTTACCTCTCGACGGATCGGCGGCGAGGAACCTGTCGGCGCTGTCAGGGCTGCTGGCCCATTACGGTGGAGACAGCCTCCTCGCACACACTGTTTTTTTATTCCTCTGGGCTGTCTATTTTGTGCTTGTGTTCATTTTGTCTGCAAATATAATCATAATCATCTATTTTTTTATTATTATTAATGCTAGTATTATGTATTTTATATTTCTGAAAATTCAAAATCAGATGTTATTATTATTTTTTTTTTAGAAAGACAGAAAATTACAACTGCCTCCGACCACGATGATCCATAATAATGAATTGAAATTAGCTTTTGCGAATGGTGCCCGCTATTGACCTGCTCCAGCTGCACTGCACCGCCTTGGCCTGCCTTTATCAGATTGGAGTACAAACCAGTTCACGTATAATTAGTTTATTTTGTGCGGGGCTGTAAATCACGTCGCAGACTAAAAATGTCATGTAGATGAAATAACGGACAAGCAATCATTATGGACATGATGTAATTTGTGGATTTTTTTCTTCTTTCATTCTCCTAAAGGTCTGACTTTGCCAATAATTACGGCTATTTATCACTATTTTTGCTGTGTGTTTAATGCTGTTTATTGCCGCTGGGCTGTGTTTTTTTTCATGAAAGAAAAAAAAAAACCTTTTTCTTTCCTGTTTGCAATTTTGATTTGTGTGTGAAAAGTCGTTCTTATCAGTGCAACCGAAGAGGACTGTAATGGTAATGTGTGTTCATGTGTATGCGGTAAGTCTACGCAACATCTTCTGACTTGTTTCTGCGCTACATTAGGTCAGCAAAGATAACCCCTCCGCTAAATTTATTCTCCCCTCTCGACCAACTTTAGGTCAGTTGGCTCAGTGACATTTTAGCCAGTTGCCTTCAGGGTCAAAGCCCGGCTGATTTAGAAATATGTGAAAAATGTGGAAGGCGCAGTGTTTTGTAAGGAGGTAATTGAATCCAAGAGATGATACATTTGAGGTCCGGTTTGGAATAATGCTTTAGTTGTGCTTTGTTTAATTTCCATGCTTTGTAAAAACCAAGATAATCCAACACTTGTAGGAATAATCCAATTAACTCCATTGCTAATTAATAACTTTCTCTGTGCTGATCTTTTCTGCTTTTAATCTAAATGTGTCAACACTTGCTGAGAATGTGTGACTCAGTGTTGAGAAGCTGCTGATTTCAACTTCACTGCTTTTTTTTTTCTCTGTCTCTGACACTTTTATCAATACCTGCCAATGTAACTCTGTAATTGTCTTTCCCCATTTTTGGCTCCTCAGTATTCCTGTGCCCAGGGCTTCTGCGCAGGGTCTACCAGAGCGAGCACCTCTTCGAGTCGGACCACCAGTCCGGAGCCTGGTGCAAAGACCCTCTACAGGCCTCCGATAAGATCTACTACATGCCGTGGACGCCCTACCGCACCGACACCCTGACCGAGTACTCGTCTAAAGAAGACTTCATCGCCGGAAGGCCGACGACCACCTACAAGCTGCCGCATCGCGTCGACGGGACCGGCTTCGTGGTCTACGACGGGGCGCTCTTCTTCAACAAGGAGCGCACTCGCAACATCGTCAAGTTCGACCTGCGAACTCGTATCAAGAGCGGCGAGGCTATCATAGCCAACGCCAACTACCACGACACATCTCCGTACCGCTGGGGAGGGAAGTCGGACATCGACTTGGCCGTAGACGAGAACGGCCTTTGGGTGATTTACGCCACCGAGCAAAACAACGGGCGGATTGTGATCAGCCAGCTGAACCCCTACACGCTGCGAGTCGAGGGCACCTGGGACACGGCGTACGATAAGCGCTCGGCGTCCAACGCCTTCATGATCTGCGGGATCCTCTATGTGGTAAAGTCGGTGTACGAGGACGACGACAACGAAGCGACGGGGAACAAGATCGACTACATCTACAACACAGAGCTGAGCAAAGACGGGTTTCTGGACATCCCCTTCCCCAACTCCTATCAGTACATCGCCGCTGTGGATTATAACCCCAGGGACAACCTGCTGTACGTTTGGAACAACTACCACGTTGTCAAGTACTCGCTGGACTTTGGAGCGCTGGACAACAGACTCGGTAAGACCAGCTTTATTTTATTCTTTCACGTAATACGATTAGCATGCAGCTTTTCAGCAGTTTGCTCGGTGTGATTTAGTGTTTCAGAGTGGGAGCGTTGTGCTAAAAAACATCTGACCTTGAGGTGTAAGAAGATCTGAAAGCTGTTTATGGAAAAATAACAATGGAAAACATGTGCCCATGAATTTCAAAACAGAAGCAGGAGTTTGAAATTCTTACCTACAGGCTGGTTTGTTGTAAAAATTCAATGGTACCCTCATATCTTTCAAATTTAAACAGCCAATGGATCAAGTTTCTCAGCAAATCTATCAAATCTCTTTATAATTTAGACAGTTCATAAATGATTTCCCTTAAGTCCCATTTACTCAAGTCAAATAGGTTGGTACCGTTTGCCTCAACTGCACAACGAATCAAATTTTAGTCAAAATCTCTTCATGCTAAATGCTCCTCTCATTGAAAACAGCCCATGTTCATAAAATTACTTGGTTTTAACTTTGGTAAATCTGACATTAAACCGTCTTATTTCACTTTTTTCGAAGTCATTCTTGGAGACTAGAAGCTTCTCTGTGTTCAGCCGCTAAGCTAGCTTCTACTGTAGCTGGCATGGGAGGTGACTATCTGTAAATTGTGGTGTCTAGAGATAATCAGATATTCAGCAAGCAAGTTGGTACGATTGCATTTATCCTTTGTTGCACTGGAGATTGTTTTAGGTCTTATTTCGGTGGAAACACTCGTAATTAGCCCGACATGGAAGTGGAAGCAGCGCTCTGTTGATTTATTGGGATCTAAATCCTGCTCATAACAATCAGGATGATCATTTTGGCCATATTCCTGCTCCCTTGAGGGTAAATGATTCCACTTCTAAAGACGACCATCAACTGGTTATAAGCCTTTAAAAAAAAGTTTCAAGCATGTTGTTTGTTCTGGACAGCGTTTTTGTACCATGGGTTGTCAAGAACAGCTTGGCGTGGCAAGTAATTGCACTTTAAGTCTTGTTTTTGTCACACTTTTGGTCAAACAAGTCGATAAAAATACATATATGTAAAATATGACACCTTTAGAAAGGCGTGGGCTGGCGACAATCGCCTGTAGAGAACGCTGCTCGCTGAGTTTGTTCCATTAAGTTGGTAAGATGCTGTAAATAGATTGAGCTTCATCACTTGTAATGTAACCGTCAGAGGCACAAAATCATAATTGAATCATCTTAGATTCTTCGGTCTTTGGGGTTTGACACTGAGAGTTCGTGTTTTAGCCACAAGCTGAAGTCTTTTGCTCAATCTGGCTGCTGCCTTTGGAAAAAAAAAAACCAGGAGCAAGCGACAGCTCACATTAAACTTCCCGAAACTCTTTTGAAAAGTCTAATTTCTCCACTCCATTGTTCTTTTTATAAATTGGTGCTTGTTGGGAAGCATAAAACGGGGGGAAAAAGAACCTGTTTTGACACACCGAGGTAATTCTTTGCGCTATCTCATCAACAGCTCTAGTCAAAAATGTCACAAGTTATTTGACTGTGAAATCCCTACTTCTGCTTTCTCCTCTGGAGCTTTTTCTACCTGCCGCTTGCCAGTTTAATTTATTTTCCTTAGCTGGCTGCTACTTTTTCCCCCCCTCCCAAATCTTTTTTTTTTACACGCCGAGTGCCGCTTCAACACACCCGGTAATGTATTCATTCATTCAGTGGCCATGCTTACAGTGTTTGGCTTTGACGATACACAGCTACCCATAATATAATTTGTTGTAGTTAAGGAAAAGCGGAATGGTGTTGTTGTGTGCTTTCTGTGTTAAATGATTATTCTTTCTCCTTTGACACGCATACTTTCAGTCACACACACACACACATGCAAAGTGTCGGCGCTAAGCTCGTGTTTGGCTGCTGCTGCACAACAGGCTGCCCTCCAAAGAGTCGACTGCATGAATATAGATAGTAAAATGTTGCATTAAGTGGATGGATGGAGTCAGGGAACAAATATAAACGTCAGATAAACAGATTGATGAGGAATGAAAGAGTGATTGAATGGACTCGGGAGCAATAAAGCATTTTGTTTGATCAACTTCCAGACCGAATACAGAAACAAGAGAATGCAGACCTGTTCTGATTAAAGTTAGCTGTGCACATTTTCCACACAATTGTCTCCTGAGGAGCCTAATTTTGAGATGGCAGGATAGTTACAACCAAATTGTTTGAATCAGCATCAGTGCACCACTTCACTGCACACAAATTAGTCTGTATTTTGCAGCTGCAAGGTTGTTTGTTCCATTTATTCGCCTCTCCAGCGGGGCTGCGCGAAAGATCAGAGAGCTAAATGTGGCCGGGGCAGATTCAGCAACAACAGAGGACGAGGGGGTTTTTTGAGCAGTTCTTTTATGCAGATATTCGAGAAGGAAGATTTGTAAATATTCACCTGCAACTTGCCAAATTTGGCTCAGAACGCTGGCCGACTTGAGCCGCCGCTGAGGATTTTCTCGAGGCGGCGTTTCCACGAGTAATTTTCACGGCTACAGAATACTGGTGCCAGCTGTTTCTCACTGCTCTGTCTTTAAATATAATTGCTGGACAGGTGTTTTATTGAGGCACTAGAAGATAGGAGTCATACGTTTAAACATTTTGAAGCGTTAAACCAGAAGAACAAGAACCCTCGTGTTTGTTAAGAAACTTAAATTTACTGATCAAACATGAACTCGTCCTCCCACCTGCTGATCTCATCCACCTTCCTTCTCTTTCGGTTCGCCGGCAATCAAAGCATTTATCTTTATTTACAGTTGAAATGTTCGACTTTAGGTTTAATCTAATTATTTCGCAGGATTTCAGTGTTGTTGTAGTGTCAAAAAAACTAATTAAACGGAAGCTCCAGGTGTCAAAGTCGGGCTGCAGTGAGCAAACAATTTATAAATCTACCATCGAACTGCCTAAAAACTGTTCCAGGTGTTGATAAATGTGTTTCTTCAGAGCATTTCTGCACAATAGGAAGGCGGAGGAGGCCAGAAACAAGACGCTTAGGAATCAGAAAGTTCTGAATCGTCACCGATGCGATCACTCGGAGCTCCTGCGGTCGTTCAGCGAGGCCAGAAATCCGACTAGATGAACCCAACAAGCCAGAAGCCAACGTGGCGTCCTCCCCTCGCGGCGAACATGAGAGATTTGCTCCAGTGTCATGATCGCGGTGCCTGTTAACGCTCACACAAAGGTGTCATCCTCTGATGGCGCTAACACAAGTTCATTTCCCCGCTCGGGCTTCCAGCTCCGTGAGCACGCCTGACCTGCCATACCAGTGGAGCATGGTATATGGGCAGCAGAGCAGCAGATCCGCGGCCAAAGCCACAGCTGGGACCCGGTGCCGGATGCCCAGCCACATGGGCCGGTTCACCTGCTGCAGGGCATCAGGCGGGGATCATATCAGGGAAGCCGTAGAAACACATGCAAGCACAAACAGTGCATCTAATTGCGAACGATTTTTGATCTCTTTGAGCAAATTATGTTTTATGTACAGTGCAGAGAGAGCTGTTGTCTTGCTCCATCGAAACCAAATTCTGAGTAATATTTGAGGATATTCGTGCAAAGAAACTAATCCCCACAATAATCTCGCACTAATCTGTGCACTTGCTGCCGTCTCTTCAGCAGGCAGCGTGATAATTTTGTCCAAACAGGATGCTTTCAAGGACAGATGATCTGCACCCAGGAGTGCTTCCATGACAACTCCATTGACAATTAAATTCACTGAATTGATGATTTAAAAAGGAAAAAACAACGAAAAAAAAAAAACGATAAAGTGCTCGCAGGCGGCTATTTGTAGGCAGATGTAAAAGCTCTCTTACCACTTTTCATGATCACATTCGGTGCAGAATATGCAAGGACGAGTGAAATAAATTGCTCCGTGGTCATCTTTTTGAAAGCACGAAGGCAAAATGAAACATAAAGATAGCAGCTGAGCGATACATACGGCACATACAATGTCTGAATAGCCGGCATTGAAGGCATGGGGAGCAGGTTTTAGAAAAATCTGACATTTCTGCAAATGAAAATAATTACAAATGCAGCTGAATGAGGGTGTTGATCTTCAGACGCTTGTGGACGTTAATTGGCTTTCAGACTATTCATCATCCAGTCGACCAGATTCACCTTGTGATTGAGTTCAGTCTTCTTCTCCGCTGAAAGCAGCCTTGGTTTGGTTGTTTTGGAACAGAAACAAGCGGAGATACTGCATGAAATTAGTGTCAAAGCTGCGAGCAGGGGTTGCTGTTGCGACAAAACCAGTCCCTCTTATCACCTGAGTAACTTCTTACTGAAGGCGTGTCACTGATAACAATCATCTGTCCTCATAACCAGGGAGTCAGTTCATGGTTATTGGATAAACTACCTACTTCAAAATGTGACTCATGCCCTTATTGGAGTCACCTCTCCAGTATATTGGGTGGAAATGTTGGTGTATCAGTTGGTTCATCACTTTGGTCCACACTGAGTCACCAGAACACCTCGTAAAGCTCCATCTGGCACCATGTTAAAGTAAAATTATTTACATAACCAGAGATGTTGGGACCAATCAGTGCAATTTGTAACCCATCTGTATTGATATGGGGATGTTTGGGTCAGAAATTTAAATAACTTACTTAATATGTGCAGCAATATCAATCAAAAATCGAAAAACTGATCATATAAATTCAGCATACTTTCAGCTTTTCAGGTCCTGATATTGCTCGCAAAACCACAGATGTATCATCCATCCATCCATCTGTACAACGCTTAACCCTCACTGGGGTGGCAATGGGCTGGAGTCTATCCCAGCTGACTCAGGGTGAAGGCAGGTTCACCTGGACAGGTCACCAGTCTATCACAGGGCTACACTTAGAGACAGACAACCAAGCACACTCACATTCACACCTACAGACAATTTAGAATCACCAATTAACCTCAGCATGTTTCTGGACTGTGGGAGGAAGCCGGAGACCCTGGAGAGAACCCTGGTGTCCTCACTGGGATGTGAACCGGTGACCTTCTTGCTGCG